ACCCCTCCCCCTTTCCCACCTCTGCTGTCCTCAGTTCTGTTCTCTCCTTTTGAAAGTTCAAGGAATTATTGTGATTATTATCTTTGTCTCTTTTTTTTTTTTCAGCTCCCATTTAGGGGTGAGGACGTGGTATGTCTCTTTCTGTGTCTGGCTTATTTCACTTAACATAACTTTCTCTAAATTCATCCACGTTGCTGTGAATGGCAGAATTTCACTCTTTTTATGGCTGAGGAATGTTCCAAGGTGTATATATACCACATTTTCCTTATCCAATGACAATGGACATTTAGGTTGGCTCCATATCTTGGCTACTGTAAATAGAGCTGCGATAAACATGGGGGTGCAGGTGTCCCTTCGACATGACGACTTCCATTCCTTTGGGTGTACACCCAGCAGTGGGATTGCTGGATCGGATGGCAGTTCTATCTGTAGTTGTTTGAGAAACTCCGTACTGTTTTCCTTAAACATATAGTGTTTTGTTTGTTCTCCGGTGGCTGGCAGGTATGGCCATCACGAACTTGTGGCTTTGGTGTTATAAATCTGTGCCTTAACCAATTGAGCTAACTGGCCAGCCCCCAGGCCCAAATCTTGTAACATAAAGTCTAGGCTGGTATGAAGACCCAGAAACAGATCTCAACTTACCTGTAATGTGCAGGGCTCCTTATGAGGTCACTCTCCCAAGTGTCTCTTCTGAAACACCTCTTTTCTTTTCCCACCAGCCCAGCCCCCTGGCCTGCTAGCTTACAAGGATTTGGCACTCACTGGGTTTGGTCCATTAATAAACCACCTAATATATCCTCTGCCAGGTCCCCGTGACTTTCTTCAGCAGCCAGAGAGCTTACTTGTACTGAAAGTGAGAAAGAACAACCGAAATTGTTCACTAAGATCATAGTTTATTGAGTGACCTAGACAAATTCTTGTCTTAGAATGTCAGATAAACACGCTTCCTTCACAAATTTGGATGGTAAAGTGACAGTCACTCCGCACAGCAATTGCAAGGTTGTCGTGAACGGGGTGCCCATCACGACCAAGACAAAGCTGCAGCATTTGGTAAACTGTCCTGCCAGGCCACAGAATTTCCTAAGTCCTAGCCGAGAGCCAGGAGAGGGGTTCTCGTGAGGTGTCCCCACATCACAGCTGCAGCCGCAGTGAGGCTGGGCAGAGCGGCCCTTGATTCGCTGTGTGTCCTTGGGCAAGTCCCTTCACCTCTCTGGATCTCGCCTATAAAACAAGAGGGACCGCACTAGATGATCTCCAAGACCCCTTCCACCCGGAACATTTTCTGACATTTCAGATCTTCTAAGAGCCTGTCATTGGGAAGGACTGAGCCGCATCTCGTGAACACGCCACCACAGTGGCTGTCCCCAACCCCCTGCAACTTCCACACTGCAGCCAGAGAGCCTTCTGCACAGGCACATCGGGTCCTGGAATCCCTCAGTGACCGCCCTGTAGGACACCGCGTGGGCCACCCCTGCCCTCCTCCCGGCACGGCGGGCCTGGGCTAGGTGCGTGTCCTCCTAGGGCCGCATCATTTGGGATCCAACAGCGCCTACCTGTGCGTCGCTTTCCTTCCGAGCAGACTCGATCATGACTTTCTCCAGCTGCAGAGAGAGCCGCCGCGGAGGGGTGAGCGCGCACAGCTCGGGGAGTGGACTTCCAGCATCTTCCACGCGCTGATCTGAACGCAACGGCCTCCCTGGGGGCCCTCCCGCCTCCCTCAAGACAACCGTCTTTTGTTGTGTCACAGTGCAAGGTACAGCAAGTTCAAAGATGATTTCCACGTAGGTACAGAGCGAGCACGCGTCCAAGGCGCGCTCACCAGGTGCAGGGCTCTCCTCGCGCATGCGCGCGTGCGGGCGAGGCCGGGGCAGGTGCAGGTGCAGGGGCAGGTGCAGGCGCAGGTGCAGGGGTAGGGACAGGAGCAGGCGCAGTGGCAGGCGCAGGGGCAGGTGCGGGAGAGAAGGTGGAGGCGGGACGCTCGGTGAGATGAGCACGCAAACCACCCGGGGACCGGCCGGGCGCACAGAATCGGCAGCTGGAGACGCCGCCGACCGGGAACCTGCCCTGGGCTGCAGATGCGACGAGGAACAAAATCCGGAAGAAGTGACAGCCCTGGGATTCTGAGTCCGAGATCTCCCCCTGCCCCTGCCCCCATCCGCAGCAGGTACCTGGAGGTTCTGGGAGGCGAGAGCGCAGCGTCCGCCTGCGCCCCCTCCCCGGGCCTCGGGTGGGGGTCCTGAGCACCTGCCCTCATCACCGCGCTCAGGGTGGGTCCCTCCCTCCCCCAGCATCCAGGTGAGGCTGGACCCTGACGGGCTGGCTTCCCACAGGAGGCACCTAAGCTCAAGCGCACGGCCCCTGCCTGCACTGGCTGGACAGAGGGGTGCACACCCACACGCGTGCAAGAGGCCCCCGCCCCTACACCAAAGCGTCTTTTTCGGAATTTTAGCACAATGCATTGATCTGAAATTCACCTACTTGCTCCTCTTCCGCTGGAGTTCTTGACCCAAAACAGGCCTCTGCAGCAGGTGCCTGGATCGCCCACGGCTCCATTTCCTTATTCACCACGCCTGGCAGCTGCCCTCCCAGCCCAGGGTGGCTGCTTGGCCAGGGTGAACAGGCCCCAGACCCTGGTGAGGACGCGGGTCCTCACATGGGCAGCTCTGGGGAGTCAGACTCAGGACCTCAGGGCACTGTGGAGCCCACAGGCCAGGCATCCTAACGAGTGGAAAGGTCCTCACAGGAGGTTTCTGGGGGGGACGGGTCTTCCCATAATCTCCCTGAGCCCCCCCCCCAAACCACCTCAATAGAAGTAAGAACAGGTTGCTTGGGGTACCAGCAACAGCTTCAGGCTAAATCCCCAGACCTTCCCTCTAGCCAACCAGACTTTACCTCCCCCTCCCCCCGACACACCTGGACAGTCTGGTGCCACCTTGAGTCAAGGACACTGGGACCATGAATGGGAGCTGGTGGCAGATGGCCTCCTGTCGTGATGCAGCCATGATGCATGGGTTGAGACGGGCAACTATGTAAGAAAAAGCCAGGGAAGGTCTTTTCCCCCGGCTAAGTTTTTTTTTTTTTTTACATGCTTGTGATTTAAAAATGTAGTTATCCGATGGACACCTGAGCAAATGGATGACCAGATGAGCACATAAGTGTATTCACAGCTGAAAAGTTTTGCAGAGCACGTGGCCGCTTTCACTTCCCTCTGACTTTGGCCAGGTGCTGTGAACGAGGGGGACGGCAGAGCAGACCCCAGGGTCCTGGCCATGTTCCAGGACTACGTCAAACTGATGTCGCTGGTTGCAGAAGCAAATCAGTTGAGTGACGAGCTGGAGGAGGTAGCTTACCTAGAGCCCAAAAGAGGTCTAAGGCCCAGGACTGCCCCGCCCAGCCCAGCCCAGCAGCTTGGCTTCCTCCGCTGGCCTCAGGGCCACCAGCACCCCAGACCAACAGCTGCTGGACACATCCTCCCATCCCACAGTGTTCTGGGGCCTCTCTGGGTCCAGGCACCTTGATGGCTGCTAGGCCACAGAGAAGGCCTGGGCTGGGGTTAGCTGCCTGGTGACAGGGGATCCCAATCAGCAAGAACCTGGTAAGCACTACCGGTGTGGGCTCCAGGACACACTGAGAAGTTCCTGCGCCCTGTCATTTGTCTTGGGGGATTTCCAAGCAGCAAGAGCCGGACCATCTTCCTGTAGAAAGCCCGAGTGTGGGGAGGATGTCAAACCTGTCGCACGGGTGGTATGGGCTGGCAAATGTAGGATTCTTTAGTGAGACGTGTTTCTTTTCCCAGGGACTTAAAATGGAGCTGAAGGTGAAGAATTTGGCATCGTCAGATTCCAGGGGCTACGAGCTACAAAAAGAGGTCATGGTGAAGGTGACCAACCAGAGGACTCACGAGGTGAGGCTGCATCTGTGGGAAGAACTTTCCCAGGACGCAGGTTATTTTCATCAGCTGCAGCCTGGAGAGGGGCCAGTGAAGGGACAAGATGTGCTCCAAGGCTGAGCTGGGTTCTGGGGTCCAGACTCCAGGGCTGGGGGGCCCTCCTTGGTGCTCCTGCCCCGGGTCTCTCTCCCACCCAGCGCCCATTCCTGGGATCTCTCCTCACCAGCAGCGCTGAGCATTTTCTGTTCAGGGTGAGCATGGCTCAAAGGCTCCAGGATGGCAGGGAGCCCGAACGTTCACCCAGCTGGTGGTGCTGGCCGTGCATGTGCATGTAAGAGAGAGAGGCCTGCCACTCTGAAGCAACGAGAAAGGCCACACTTTCATTAAGACTCCAGAAAAGGCCGTTTTTCCAGCTCCCCGGATGCTCCATTGCCATATGTGACATTGCTCACTGTCAGGAAGGTCCTTTCTAGCACCCTAAGACCTTTGTCCTCTCCCTCTGCCTTCCGAGGAGGAAAGAGAAAATTGCAGGCCAGCGCTGGCCCTGTGGACACTGTGCCTCTGGCGCTGCTCCTGCTTAGCCAGCCTGGGGGCTCCGACCCCGGGCAGGGAGCCAGGACAGGGGCACTGGAGTGGGGCTGGCCTCGGCCTTGTGATGGCTGCTCTACTTGGGAACTGGGACGTCTCTGGGGTTCACTCTTCTGCCCATTGCCCTGAAGTTGCCAAAATGGTCTAGGTCAAGACTGACTTTTAAAAACTTCCTAAAAGTTTGAAATATGACACAAAGAGGCTATAAATAGATATGTTTGTTATTTTGTAAACACCTGTGCACCCACCACCCAATTCAGGGGTGTTGTCTGCCAAGGGCTGGGGCTGCCAGGTTTCAGCCTGGCTGTGAGTGGCCGGGGAGGACAGGGGTGCCCAGGGAGGACATGAGTGCTTGTGAAACCAACTCTGCAGAGACTGTCTCCTTTCCTGGAGGCATGTTTGGTGCAGCTCTGGGCTCTCAGTGTGACATGGAGAGGGTCTCCTGTGACCTCGCCACCCTGGGGAGTCAGCCTTGACAGTCTTTGGAGGGACTCCTCAAAGTGTCTGTGCTTTGAGTTTTGTTTCATCTGGCAGATGCCACCAGGGCAAGGAGTTTTGGTGTCCAGCACTCTGTGATGGGTGACCATCCTGGCTCCACTAGATATAAGAGCAATTTTATGTTTTGCTTTAGATATAAGAGCCATTTTATGTATTGGCAGGCAGCATAACTCGTTTGACTTGGCTTTTGTAAACTATTGGGGTTTTTTTAATGAAATAGACAACCCTAGCATTTTTCTAATTGTCAAACCTGCCCCCTTCTGCTTAAGGAATAGTTTTAGAAATTTTATGCTTGACAGTCTCAATCGCGAACTCTGGCTTCTGTAACCCGGCTTGCTTGTAGCACCAGTGTGCTAATGAAAGATAACAGTGGCTTTGCGTCACCCTGAGAGCCAGATGCAAATTGGCTCCAGAACTGACCAGTGAGCTATGTCACAGCCGACCAATCTGAACTAACAAACTTGCATCCCTCATTTGCCTAAAAAGACCTGAGTGAGAACTTGGTTGGTTTTGGGCAAGCAGCTTTGGCTCTATAAGGCTGCTCCTTTCCTTCATTTGGGGAGACACTAGCCTAATGTGGGTGCTTTCCTTGCTTGCAAGCAATAGAGCTGTAACACCGGAAAGAGCTGTCAACTGTTAAAAGAGCTACAAAACCAACGCTGGCCTTGGATTCCTCTGTGCAAGCGCCCACTGCAACTCCACGTGCCTCGCTTGGCCAGGCTTCCCCAGAATGGGGTTTGCCAGTTTCCTGGTGTCTTGTCAAACCTTGTTGTAAGGAAGCTTGTCATTTTTAAAAACTTTTTTCCATGTTATTCTTTTTTTTTTTTTTCATTATTGTTGTCTAAAATGATTTGAAAAATACAGTATTTTAAGTCAGCCTTTTTAATTGTTGCCAGCAGAAGGGTTACCTGAATATCACGGCCTGCCATTACCAGGCGTAGAACTCAAGACAGGGTTTTTACATGTATTGTTAATGTGTTGTCACTGCGACAGCGGAGGGCCTGGGCACATTCTGAGACGCTGTCCTTTTCCTTCATCCCAGCACCCCTGTCACAGGCATGGAAGCCTAACAGGACTGCTGCTGCACAAACAACACTGGGTTCTCTTATAACAGGGTTGTGTGCTAATTAATTTTACGGTGTTATTTTCCTTTTTTTTTTCCCCTCATGCAGAGATGAATCTTACCTGTCATTTTCAAGTCTGTCCATTTTTACATGTAAAAAAGTAAGATCACATTTCCTCAAATGAAGGCCCACCTTCCTCAGCAGGCCTGAGATGCTGGTAGTGACTTCTGGTGCTTTCTTGGAACGTGTGTGTGTGTGTGTGTGTGTGTGCGTGCGTGCGTGTGCACATCTGACGGCTAACAGACAAGGCTGGTGGAGAGCAGAAGTGGGTCCCCAGTATAGACACAAATGGCACTTTTTTTGGTTGATCTTGTAAACATTCACCTCCGATTGCGTGGACCATGACTGCTGCTGTGGCTCTGGGGTAGGTGACAGTGTCCACGTGCAGTTTCGTGCAACTGCTAGCTAGAGTCACACATGAAGGACAAGTTCAGGAGGAAGCCAGGGCCGAGTGAGGGCTGGGGAGGGGTTTCTGGACGGGAGACGCTGCCGGCCTGCAGGAACTTTCCCGCAGCACTGCCACAGCTGCTGGCTCACGTGAGCAGCACACCCAGCCGGGAAGTCTCCGAGCCAAGCCTGCAGGGCCTGCTGGGAGCCCGGCTATCCCCACTGTCCTAGCCTCCCCGAGTGAGCGTTT